CTCGTGCCTCTGTGTCCTCTGTGTCCGCTCTTACTGCCGCAGTTACTGACTTTGCCTCTACGCGTCGCCTTGACTACGCCACCACGCTTGTGGCTGCTCCTCCTACCAGTCCTCTGGCCGTCGGGGGTGTGTCTGCCCTTGGCTGTGACGCCCTAGAGGACAGGCAGTTTGAGCTAGAGTTCCTGGCGGCCGCTTCCCCTCATCTCTGTGCCATGCTCCTCGCCCCTGAGGGTGACCCCGACGCCCTTGACATTCCGACTCCTCGCACTTACGCTGAGGCAGTGTCAGGGCCTTGGGCCTCTCAGTGGAGAGCTGCCATGGACGCAGAGATGGCCTCCTACAGATCCACAGGCACCTACGTCGATGAGGTTCCCCCCCCTGGGGCGAACGTAGTCGACGGCATGTGGATCTACAGGGTGAAGCGGCCACCGGGATCTCCCCCGGTCTTCAAGGCGCGCTACGTGGCTAGAGGTTTCAGTCAGCGCGAGGGAGTTGACTTCTTTCAGACCTTCGCACCTACCCCGAAGATGACCACTCTTCGGGTGTTACTACACGTAGCAGCACAGAGAGACTACGAGTTACACTCTCTCGACTTCTCCACTGCTTTCCTTCAGGGCAGCCTACACGAGGAGGTCTGGTTGCGTCGTCCCTCGGCCTTCACTGGCACCTTCCCTCCTGGGACCCAGTGGAGGCTGAGGCGACCTGTTTACGGTCTTCGCCAGGCCCCTCGTGAGTGGCACGACACTCTGCGTTCTACCCTTTCTGACCTTGGGTTCCAGCCGTCTTCTGCCGACCCGTCGCTGTTCGTTCGTCGTGGCTCCACACCGTTCTTTGTCCTGGTCTACGTCGACGACCTCGTTTTCGCCACTTCGGACAGGGTTGCTTTGGCAGACGTGAAGTCCGAACTGCAGAAGAGACACACGTGCACTGATCTTGGTGAGCTGCGCCACTACCTTGGCCTGCAGATCACCAGGGACAGAGCCGCTCGCACCATTACACTCTCACAGTCACACATGGTGCAGCAGGTCCTTCAGCGGTTCGGGCTTCAGCACTCCACCGTACAGCGCACACCTCTAGCTGTTGACCACAGACTCACTGGTCCCTTTCCTGACGAGCCGTTTGAGCCTAGTGGTCCCTACGCAGAGCTTGTGGGTTGCCTCATGTACCTGATGACTTGTACTCGCCCGGACCTCGCTTTCCCTCTCAGCATCCTTGCGCGCTTTGTTGCGCCAGGGAGACACCGTCCTGTTCACTGGACGGCAGCTGTGAGGGTGGCGAAGTACCTAGCGACTACATCAGGCGTGGGGCTAGTTCTTGGAGGGCAGCAGTCTGTCGTACTCACTGGTCACTGTGACTCCTCTTACGCTGACGACGCTGAGACTCACAGGTCTACTCAGGGGTACTGTTTCAGTCTGGGTTCTGGAGCTGTTTCCTGGCGTTCCACGCGCTCCTCTTCTGTCTCGACCTCTACAGCTGAGGCTGAGATTTACGCTGGTGCCATGGCGGCACAGGAGTTACGGTGGTTGACCTTCTTGCTCGCCGACCTTGGTGAGCGGCCGAGCTCTGCACCGACCTTGTTTACTGACAACAAGGCGTCGATCCTCCTCTGTCGTGAGCCGCGACTGGAGAGCAGAGTGAAGCACATTCACGTCAGGTACTTTCTTCTGCGAGAGTTGCAGAGGCGTGGACAGGCTCGCTTCGAGTTTGTAGAGTCCGAGGCCAACACTGCAGACATCTTCACCAAGGCGCTTCCGCCTTGTGACCACCAGAGGTGTTGTGTGCAGTTAGGCCTTGTTGACACAGGTTCTAGTCATGCGTAGACTTGAGTTTATTGCCTGCTTCGTCTGTACACTTACTATATATACTTGTGATCTCTTGGACTGGCCTTGTGGCCACTGTTGCTTGTGCTCAGAGTGTGTGGTGACGTTGTGATCCACCCTGAGCTTTGTTTTCTTTTGGACTGGTCTTGTGACCGTACTCTTTTTTGTTTTTGCTAGACACCCCTCACTTAGGCTATGGGGGTGTGTCAAATGTTGTAGCCTGTAGTGAGGTTTGTCTTAGGGGGTACAGAAGTTAGGGTTTGTCATATGTACCCCAACCAACATCAATGCAACATCCATTTCCTCATTCTGACACCAATCAACGATATTCCCGCTGCTAGTGGTAGTCCCAACTAGGGTCTTGCCTGTGGCGGACTGGAGCTTCTTTTGGACGTAAGGGACTCCACTACTTTGGAAGTATCCGGTAGAAAACAGTAACACCACAAGATACGAACACCGCAAACTTCTAGCGCATCAGTTACACTTCCACAATCACAAGTGTAAGGAATTAGAATACCTTACTATAGGTTGATATTTTCGGGAACATTCCGAGAGTCTAGACTCTCTCATCAGTTGGGTTCGGCCTACAGCTTTGCCCCGAACCACTCCCGAGGCGACACCGCACCATTTGCCACCTTTCCGAGCCTCGTGTACCCCGAGGTCCTCACCTAGCTCGTTCGTGCCTATTTTACCCGCGTTTTCGACATTTCATAGGACATTCTGGAGTTCCAATTTGAGTGCATTTAAGCTCGATTGCGAATCCCGCGCACTCATATGAACGACGCAGCGTATCAGTCAAAGTCAGAAGTTGCACTGTAGAGAAGCGGCAAATATAATAAGCAGAAATAGATAATAGAGCGTACCGTTTTGCCCACGGGGTAACCCAGCATGGCTTTCTTGGTGTAAATGTTATCGAGCATGTTGAACGCGGCAATTCGGATGCCAGTGCATCACAAAAAACCCGGTTCAGGTTGGAGGTGGGTTTGGTGGTTTCGAGGGTGGCATTTGACAAAAATTGCCAGGCGCAACTTTCCGCTCGATTTCCGATAGAAAACCGGCGGAAGTCACTGGTCAAAGTTGGGTTTTGCCGAGAAATGCAGTGGCGACCGAGTCGCGTCAAGTTCCACTCGGTGCCTCTTGATTTCCAGTGGATTTCGGGCGGGAATGAGATGGGGAGCGACGAGACCATAATTTAGGCAAAACTGAATATTTGAGATGCGTACAGTTTTCGCATCACCCAAGACGAACACTTTACCTCTGAGCTTATATATCACACATTAAAACTGCATTGTGTGAGTAGATTAGAAGTCGAGAAAATCATAGACATGCTAACATTTCATTTTTAATTCATGTCAAAAGTTGTGTGAATCAGGAATTTGCTTGTGCCGGAAGATGTCAATTTAATTCATTAATCAAAAGCGACACTATTTAACTCATGGTACACAAAATTGTGATGCTACACAGTATTAGATTTAGTGTCAATATATTGTTTCGGGACGTCCGATAATAAACGTGTGCATAATGTTGCACCACGAATATGTCGTGTCGTGTCAACGTGCTGTATCGACGTCCGTTTGTCATTTTGAACAATATCTCTATTTATCATTGATACATTTACTATATTTGCAGGCATGCTGGTCAGTTTTGGTGTCATTGGCAGCACATGGTAGGAAGGAAGCTACGGTGTTTCTAAACCATTGAGCAGGTAGAACTGCGTAACGATAGACATATGTGCAACATGGTGTCATATCGGCGTCCGTTTGTCGGTTCCAACAATGTTTATCTTGGTCACTTATATATCTTTGTCAGAATGTTATTTGTCTAGCCTGCAGTGGGGTGCTCAATACTGAGTACAACCCCTTAGGGTTTTCTATTTGTGTGTCCTGCTGCTTGCTAGTCATTTCATTCTTCCTTCCAATTCTCCTTCCAAAACCCTAACTCCTACCTCTAGAGCGCACACACCTACCTCCTAGTGTGGGCCTAGGCTACTAAGCCTAGGCCCCACTACCTACTATTCTGACATGTTATCAGAGCTCGTTCTACCTTGGCCTGTGGGCCCCTATGCTTCCGCTGTAGTCCTTCTTTCTGCCGCGTGCGCTGGCGAATTTTTTTTTTAGTGTTTCGGAGTTTTTCATCCCGCCGTGCGCTCGGGGCGCGCGGCGGTTTTCTGCCCGCCGTGCGCCCCGAGGCGCGCGGCGGTTTTCCCGTCCGTCGAAGCGCCCTCGGGGGGGCCTGCGCGCTGCCCTCCCCGCTGCTCGTCGCGACGCCCGTGCGGGACCCGCGCGGCGTCGCCCCTGCTCGTCGCGACGCCCCCTGTGGGACCCGCGGGGCGTCGCCCCTGCTCGTCGCGACGCCCCCTGTGGGACCCGCGGGGCGTCGCCCCTGCTCGTCGCGACGCCCCCTGCGGGACCCGCGGGGCGCCGTCCGATCCTGCAGCACCAGCCGCCGCCGGCCTGCAGCAGCAGACGCCGCCGCCCTGCAGCAGCAGCCGCCGCCGGGCCTGCAGCAACAGATGCCGCCGCCCTGCAGCAGCAGCCGCCGCCGGGCCTGCAGCAACAGACGCCGCCGCCCTGCAGCAGCAGCCGCAGCCAGGCCTGCAGCAGCAGCCGCCGCCAGAGCCTGCAGCAGCAGCCGCCGCCAGAGCCTGCAGCAGCAGCCGCCGCCAGAGTCTGCAGCAGCAGCCGCCGCCAGAGCCTGCAGCAGCTGCCGCCACCGATCCAACAGCAGCAGCCGCCGCCGCTCTGCCGCAGCAGCCACCGCCGCCCAGCAGCAGCAGCCGCCGCCAGAGCCTGCAGCAGCAGCCGCCGCCAGCGCCTGCAGCAGCTGCCGCCCCTGGACCCGGTACGCTCTGTGCTGCCCTGCCTGTGCTGCCCTGTACTGCCCTGCCTGTGCTGCCCTGTACTGCCCTGCCTGTGCTGCCCTGTGCTGCCCTGCCTGTGCTGCCCTGTGCTGCCCTGCCTGTGCTGCCCTGTGCTGCCCGTGCCTGTTGCTGCCCGTGCCTGTTGCTGCCCGTGCCTGTGCTGCCCGTGCTTGTGCTGCCCGTGCCTGTGCTGCCCGTGCCTGTTGCTGCCCGTGCCTGTTGCTGCCTGTGCCTGTGCTGCCCGTGCCTGTGCTGCCCGTGCCTGTGCTGCCTGTGCCTGTTGCTGCCCGTGCCTGTGCTGCCCGTGCCTGTTGCTGCCCATGCCTGTTGCTGCCTGTGCCGTTGCTGCCTGTGCCTGTGCTGCCCGTGCCTGTGCTGCCCGTGCCTGTGCTGCCTGTGCTTTTGCTGCCCGTGCCTGTGCTGCCCGTGCCTGTGCTGCCCGTGCCTGTGCTGCCCGTGCCTGTGCTGCCTGTGCCTGTTGCTGCCCGTGCCTGTGCTGCCCGTGCCTGTTGCTGCCCGTGCCTGTTGCTGCCTGTGCCTGTGCTGCCCGTGCCTGTGCTGCCCGTGCCTGTGCTGCCCGTGCTTGTGCTGCCCGTGCCTGTGCTGCCCGTGCCTGTTGCTGCCCGTGCCTGTTGCTGCCCGTGCCTGTGCTGCCCGTGCCTGTGCTGCCCGTGCCTGTGCTGCCCGTGCCTGTGCTGCCTGTGCCTGTTGCTGCCCGTGCCTGTGCTGCCCGTGCCTGTGCTGCCCGTGCCTGTGCTGCCCGTGCTTGTGCTGCCCGTGCCTGTGCTGCCCGTGCTTATTGCTGCCCGTGCCTGTTGCTGCCTGTGCCTGTGCTGCCCGTGCCCGTGCTGCCCGTGCCTGTGCTGCCCGTGCTTGTGCTGCCCGTGCCTGTGCTGCCCGTGCCTGTTGCTGCCCGTGCCTGTTGCTGCCTGTGCCTGTGCTGCCCGTGCCTGTGCTGCCCGTGCCTGTGCTGCCTGTGCCTGTTGCTGCCCGTGCCTGTGCTGCCCTGTGCTGCCTGTGCCTGTTGCTGCGTGTGCCTGTGCTGCCCGTACCTGTGCTGCCCGTCACTGTGTTGCCCGTGCCTGTGCTACCCGTGCCTGTGCTGCCTGTGCCTGTTGCTGCCCGTGCCTGTGCTGCCCTGTGCTGCCCGTGCCTGTGCTGCCCTGTGCTGCATGTGCCTGGTGCTGCTCGTGCCTACTGTCTGCGCCCTCGTGCGCTCTGCTACTGTCTGCGCCCTCGTGCGCTCTACTACTGTCTGCGCCCTCGTGCACCCCCCCCCCCCCCCCGTTTGCGGGTATGGGGGTGGCTGGTGTGCATTCCTCCCTTTGCTCCTCCTCCTCCTTCGTCTCCCACTGCTGCAGCTGTCGCTGAGGGGGGTGGTTGTGTGGGAGACTGGGGTTTAGGGTTTAAGGGGGGGTGCGTGGGAGTGGAGCTAGCGGTGTAGCAGCGGGTGTGTGTCAGGGGGGTGGGACTGTTTGGGGAAGCTGCTTGGAAGTTGCCGTACTGTAGTCCGCAGCACCTGTAGTCCGGGGCGCTGTCCCGGTAGCCCAGTCGTAGCTAGCTGTGCCAGCCGCCCGTGGGTCCGTTGCCCGTCTGCCGCTACTTGAGCCGCGGGGCCAGTTACTCCAGTAGTCCGGAGCGTTGTTCCGGTAGCCGCTGTGCCAGTGTGCCTCCTGTTGCCCGTGTGCCTGCAGCTTCAGCCGTCGCCTCCTATCCCCTCTCCCCTCACCCTCTCTCCTCCTCCTCACTTGCCCGTTGTGACTACCACTAGCTTTGCTCATAATTCTTAACTTTAAACTATTGCTTCTTTAACTTGTGCTCAGAATGTGTGGTGACATTGTGATCCACCCTGAGCTTGTACTGCTTTGCCTGCTCTGCTGATTACACCCCACTTTGGCTATGGGGGTGTGTCAGAATGTTATTTGTCTAGCCTGCAGTGGGGTGCTCAATACTGAGTACAACCCCTTAGGGTTTTCTATTTGTGTGTCCTGCTGCTTGCTAGTCATTTCATTCTTCCTTCCAATTCTCCTTCCAAAACCCTAACTCCTACCTCTAGAGCGCACACACCTACCTCCTAGTGTGGGCCTAGGCTACTAAGCCTAGGCCCCACTACCTACTATTCTGACAATCTTAACTATTTCCGAGCATTTCTGCACAGATTTGGTGCCGTTCGCACCACGTAGAAGGAACATATACGATTTCAAACAATTGAGCAGCGAAAACTGTGCGATGATAGGCATGTGTACGATGTGGTGCCGTATCGTTAAGCAATGATTATATCGATCATAATACATTCACTCTACTTGTAGGTATGTTTGGCAGATTTTGTGTCATTCGCAGTTCGTGGTAGGAAGATATGGTGGTTCAAACAACTGAGCAGAGAAAATTGTGCAAGGATAGGCCTAAGCGCAACGAGGTTCCGTCTCGACGTCCGTTTGTCAGTCTCGACAAGATTTCTCTTGATTATTCATACATTTACTCTATTTGCAAGCATGCTGGGCAAATTTGGTGTCATTCGCAGAACACGGTAGGCTGATTTGGTGTTTCAAATAATTGAGTAGGGAAAAATGTGCAACGATAGGCATGCGCGCCACGTGGTGTCATATCGACGTCCGTTTGTAGGATAAAACAATGTTTCTCTTGATTATAAATACATTTACTATACTCGCAAGCATGTTGGACAGATGTGGAGTCATTCGCAACATGTGGTATGAAGATATCGTATTTCTAATAATTGAGTAAGGAAACATATGCAAGGATTGACTTGTGCGCGACGTGATGCCGTATCGGCGTCTGTATCTGTGCCGTATCTCCTCCTCGCTCTCTCTCTCTCTCTCTCTCTCTCTCTCTCTCTCTCTCTCTCTCTCTCTCTCTCTCTCTCTCTCTCTCTCTCTCTCTCTCTCTCTCTCTCTCTCTCCTTTTCTCTCTGACCCTGTCTCTTTCTTTCTCTCTCTCTCTCTCTCTCTCTCTCTCTCTCTCTCTCTCTCTCTCTCTCTCTCTCTCTCTCTCTCTCTCTCTCTCTCTCTCTCTCTCTCTCCTTTTCTCTCTGACCCTGTCTCTTTCTTTCTCTCTCTCTCTCTCTCTCTCTCTGCCTCTCTCTCTCTCTCCCTCTCTCTCTCTCTCTCTCTCTCTCTCTCTCTCTCTCTCTCTCTCTCTATCTCTCTCTGTCCTTTTCTCTCTGACCTTGTATCTTTCTTTCTCTCTCTCTCTCTCTCTCTCTCTCTCTCTCTTTCTCTCTCTCTCTCTCTCTCTCTCTCTCTCTTTCTCTCTCTCTCTCTCTCTCTCTCTCTCTCTCTCTCTCTCTCTCTCTCTCTCTCTCTCTCTCTCTCTCTCTCTCTCTCTCTCTCCTTTTCTCTCTGACCCTGTCTCGTTCTCTCTCTCTCTCTCTCTCTCTCTCTCTCTCTCTCTCTCTCTCTTTCTCTCTCTCTCTCTCTCTCTCTCTCTTTCTCTCTCTCTCTCTCTCTCTCTCTCTCTCTCTCTCTCTCTCTCTCTCTCTCTCTCTCTCTTTCTCTCGTTTAGTTGACTGCAAGCATGTTGGTCATTTGGTGCCATTCGCACCATTTGGTATGATGTTTCATGTTGTCGAGCAGGGAAACCTATGGAAGGTTAGACCTTGGCAATACGACGTGTCGTTTCTCTATCTGGTCTCAGAATGAATGGCAATTTGTATGGTTTCAGAACATCCATACATCCATACTTTTTAATTGCTTGTCAGAATTCTAATAATGTGAGTGCTTGTTACATAATCCGTAACTGAATATATCCCATATACCTCTTTTTTTTCAATAAGGAATTTACAAATCAAAACATTTATGTCCAAACCCATTTTTTTTTCTCCGTTAACCACAATTTGAATGATCAAGACACTAAATTCCTTTGTAATTATATGAATATTATGATAGCAATGAAAGTGTTAAGCGTTCAGTTTCGGCTGAAATACACTTTACAATGATAAAGCTGCATATATTTGTTACAGATTGTGATACTTTGTGGGAAATTGAAATCGGATTTTGGACAAAATGGGAAAGTACCAGGCCGGTCAATATAAACGCATACACTGCAGACTCTTGGACTGACCACCGCTTTGGTCAATCCTGCAGAGACCTCCCCCACCTTGCGGTGGACGGGGAAGGTTGGTGATGCGTCTGCGTTTCGGGTCTGGGGATCTCGGGCGTTTGTCCGCGACTTGTCTGCGGACAAGCTGTCCCCCCGTGCTGTTCCCTTCGTCTTCCTTGGCTTCCCCCCTGACGCGCCTGGTTGGCAGTTTTACCACCCCACCTCGCGCCGTGTTCTGTCCTCCCAGGACGTCACCTTCGACGAGTCGGTGCCTTACTACCGTCTCTTCCCCTACCGCACTGCGCCCCTCCCCCCGCCGCCGCTCTTCCTAGCGCCATGTCCTCCCCCGGTACACCCCCTCCCCCCTCACGGTCCTGCCCCGTAAGGTGTGTCCCAGGTAGACGCAGTCGAGCCTGTCGAGGTAGCTGTTGACTCAGGTGCTGCTAGATGTGCTGAGCCTGTGGGTGCCGGGTCTGGAGGTGCTGAGCCTGTGGGTGCGGAGCCTGGGGGTGCTATGTCCAGGGGTGTGGAGCCTGGGGGTGCTGAGCCTGGGGGTGCTGAGTCTCGGGGTACTGAGCCTGGGGGTGCTGAGCCTGGGGGTACTGAGCCTGGGGGTGCGGAGCCTGGGGGTGCTGGGTCTGCTCGTGTGGCCTCTGGCGGTGCTTCAACGAGGCGGGAGCCACTCTCTCCACAGGAGCTGCGCGAGTGGTTTGCCCGGCGCAAACCTCCTGTCTAGTCGCAGTCACAAATACAGCCCGCCTCCCCCCTACCTGCTCCTTCTCCCTACACTGGTCCTATTGGAGGTCTTGCTGAGCGTCGTGAGCCTGCGTCTCGCCGTGCGTCGCCTGTTCGTGCGGCTTGCACTAGTGGTCATGCTCCGCGTCCGCGTCCTTCTGCGGTCCCAGGCACAGACCAAATGGCACTGCGTCCTTCCACTACTCCTCTGCGTGTCCCGTTGCCGTCTCCTCCAGAGTCCTCTCTTCCTGTTCTTGCTGACCCGAAGTCTGACTCTCTTCGTGCTGCCAGTCCTACTGTCACGCGTCTCCTAGCTACTGTTGTCACTGACCCTTCCTTTGAGTCGACTGCTGCGTCTGCCTTGGTTGCTGAGCTTGTCGACTTTGCAGCTCGCTGTCGTCTAGACTACGCTACTAGTCTTGTTGCTGAGTCTGAGTCTGTCTGTCCTCCGTTCGTCGGGAGTGAGTGTGCTCTTAGCACGGACGTCCTTAAGGACAGGCAGGAGGAGTTCCAGTGTTTTGCTGCTACTTCGCCTCATCTCGTGTCCACGCTGATTGCCCCTGAGGGAGACCTGTCAGAAAATTATCTTTGTTCTCTAGCGTGCAGTGGGGTACTCTATAGCGAGTACAACCCCTTAGGGTTTCCGATATGTATCCTGTTGCTTGCTAGTGCATCTCCCTCTTTTGCCTAAACTATTCTTGCCTAGCTAGGAAAGACCTAGCTATGGCTCCTACTTCTAACTACCTATTTTCACATGGTTATCAGAGCATTAAGCTCCTGGCCTGTGGGCCCCACCACACTCCTTCCGCTGCAACTTCTACTATCCCTTTCCGCCGTGCGCCCCGAGGCGCGTAGCGGTTTTCTGCCCGCCGTGCGCCCCGAGGCGCGCGGCGGTTCTCTTCCCGCCGTGCGCCCCGAGGCGCGCGGCGGGTTACTGCCTCGTCAAGCCGCGCGCCGCTCCCGGGAGGTGCTGTGACGGGCGACGGGGACCTCCGCGTCGCCCGTCGTGGCCTGCGCGCGGCCCGTACAGCCTGCGCGCGGCACGTACGGGCCGCGCCAGACTCGTCCGCGGCCCGTACGGGCTGCGCCAGGCCCGCGCGCGGCCCGTACGGGCTGCGCCAGGCCCATGCGCGGCTCGGGCCGCCTGCGCGCGGTTTGGGCGGCTGTGCCAGGCCCGTGGGCAGCAGCACCTGTAGTCCGGGGAGTTGCTCCGGTAGCCCAGTCGTAGCCACCTGTGCCAGTCGCCCGTGGGTCCGTTGCTCGTCTGCCACTACTTAAGCCGCGGGGCCAGTTACTCCAGTAGTATGGAGCGTTGTTCCGGTAGCCACTGTGCCAGTGTGCCTCCTGTTGCCCGTGTGTCTACAGCTTTAGCCGTCGCCTCCTATCTCCTCTCCTCTCACTCCCTCTCCTCCTCCTCACTTGCCCGTTGTGACTACCACTAGCTTTGCTCATAATTGTGAAATTAAACTATTGCTTCTTGAACTTGTGCTCAGAATGTGTGGTGACATTGTGATCCACCCTGAGCTTGTTCTGTTTTGCTTGCTCTGCTGATTACACCCCACTTTGGCTATGGGGGTGTGTCAGAATGTTATCTTTGTTCTCCAGCCTGCAGTGAGGTACTCTATAGCGAGTACAACCCCTTAGGGTTTCCTATATGTATCCTGTTGCTTGCTAGTGCATCTCCCTCTTTTGCCTAAACTATTCTTGCCTAGCTAGGAAAGACCTAGCCATGGCTCCTACTTCTAACTACCTATTTTCACAAGACCCGGATGCACCAGACATCCCGACTCCTCGATCGTACGCTGAGGCGATCGAGGGTCCCTACTCCTCACAGTGGCAGTCAGCCATGGACGCAGAGACGGCTTCCTGGAAGTCCACAGGCACCTACGTCGACGAGGTTCCCCCACCTGGGGCGAACATCGTCAGTGGCATGTGGATTTTCAGGGTGAAGCGGCTGCCGGGTTCTCCGCATGTCTTCAAGGCGCGTTACGTGGCTCGAGGCTTCAGTCAGCGGCAGGGAGTTGACTACTTTCAGACCTTCTCTCCCACCCCGAAGATGACCACTCTTCGGGTGCTGCTGCACATAGCCGCTCAGCGCGACTACGAGCTTCACTCTCTTGACTTCAGCACAACTTTTTTGCAGGGCAGCCTGCACGAGGAGATCTGGCTGCGCCCCGTGAGTGACACGACACACTGAGGACTACACTTGCGGCTCTTGGGTTTGCTCCTTCTACAGCCGACCCGTCGCTATTTCTGCGCACCGACACCTCTTTGCCGCCGTTCTACATCCTCGTGTATGTCGACGACTTGGTCTTTGCCACTGCTGACACTGCTGGACTCGCCCACGTGAAGTCCGAGCTGCAGAAGAGACACACGTGCACAGACCTGGGTGAACTGCGCAGCTACCTTGGCTTGCAGATCACCCGAGACAGAGCACAGCGCACCATTACACTGACTTAGTCACACATGGTGCAGCAGGTCCTTCAGCGCTTCGACTTCACGTACTCCTCGCCTCAGGCCACTCCTCTGTCTACTCGCCACTCGCTCTCAGCTCTGCCTTCGGATGATTCCGTAGAGTCGAGTGGCCCGTACCCAGAGCTTGTTGGCTGCCTCATGTACCTGATGACCTGCACACGACCTGACCTTGCATACCCTCTTAGCATCTTGGCACGCTATGTTGCTCCTAGGAGACACCGACCAGAGCACATGGCTGCAGCGAAGAGGGTGTTGCGCTACTTGTGCAGTACGTCGGGCATGGGGCTAGTGCTTGGAGGGCGACGTCGAGTGGTCCTCACAGGTCACGCAGACGCTTCTTGGGCTGACGACCAGGCTACGCAGTGGTCGTCACAGGGTTACACCGTCAGCCTTGGCTCCGGCTCTGTTTCGTGGCGGTCTACCCGCTCGTCTTCTGTTCTCGGCTCCAGCTGTGAGGCTGAGATCTACGCGGGGGCCATGGCTGCACAGGAGCTACGCTGGCTCACCTACCTGCTGACTGACCTAGGAGAGCCGCCTCGTTCTCCTCCAGTTCTGTACGTAGACAACAAGGCCATGCTGGCCTTGTGTCGGGAGCACAGACTGGAGCACAGAACGAAGCACATTGCTCTCCGCTACTTCCTTGCTCGTGAGCTGCAGCGGCGTGGTCAGCTGCGCCTTGCGTACGTGGCCTCTGAGGCCAACACTGCTGATATCTTTACCAAGGCACTTCCGCCTTGTGATCATCAGCGCTTCTGTACGATGCTAGGTCCTGTGCCTACTTGGCCTCACTTGCTCACTTCTTGACCTTGCTTGTACTGTGATCTTTCTATACCTGCACTTGCTTGTTTACCTTTATATATGATCTTGCATGTGAACTGGCCTTGTGGCCTTGCTCTTGTGCTTGGACTGTGTGGTGACGTTGTGATCCACCCTGAGCTTGCTTTGCTTTGCTTGACTGGTCTTGTGACCTCTTGTTCTCCCTCAATTTGCCTATGGGGGTGTGTCAAACTCTTATGCTATAGTCTGTGTAGGCTGTAGTGGGGTAGACAATATGGGGTACAACACTTATAGGTTTTCCTACTTGTACCCGCCTGCTTGCTAGTTCATTCATTCCTTATTTCTTCACAGATGATGCTGGCAGACAGATCATCATCCTGCATGATGCAGGATTGACATGGTTATTCGAGCAAAGTGGTGAGTGGACCCAGAAGTAATATTTTCGGAGCCGGCAGCTTAAGCGTAGTTCTTTAGGTCGAGCCGACTTGCTGTCGAGTGCTGGTGTTGCTCTCGACCTGTCCTGACACTCACTGCTTTTCAATACACAGCGTGTCAGAATATTATCTTATTGTTCTAACCTGTAGTGAGGTGCTCTATAGCGAGTACAACCCTTCTAGGGTTTGCTATTTGTATCCTCATTCTTGCTAGTTCAATTCTCTTTTCTTTCTTCTAATTTTGACATGGTATCAGAGCTAGGTCCCTCCAGGACCGATTTTTTTTTGGGCCCACCGAAGCGCGCCCAGAGGCGCGATTTTTTTTAGCGACCCCTCAAGTCGCCCTCTCACCTGCGGCCTCCCCGCCCACTCTGTCGCGGCCCCGCCCTGACCCTTACGCGGCCACGCCGCCTGCTCCTTACGCGGCCCCGCCCCCGGCCCTTACGCGGCCCCGCGCCGGCTCCTACGCGGCCCTTACGCGACCCCGCGCCGGCCCCTTACGTGGCCCTTACGCGGCCACGCCGCCGGCTCTCACGCGGCCCCGCAGCTGGCTTCTACGAGGCCCCGTCCCGGCTCCTACGCGGCCCCGTCCCCGGCTCCTACTCGGCCCCGCGCCGGCCCTTACGCGGCCTCGCCGCCGGCTCCATCGCGGCCCTGCCCCGGCTTCTACGCGGCCCCGTCCCCAGCCCCTTACGCGGCCCCGCCGCAGGCTCCTACGCGGCCCCGCCGCCGGCTCCTACTCGGCCCCGCGCCGGCCCTTACGCGGCCTCGCCGCCGGCTCCATCGCGGCCCCACCCCTGCTCCGACACGGCCCTGTCCGCCGGCCCCTTACGCGGCCCTGCCGCCGGCTTCTACTCGGCCCTGCGCCGGCCCCTACGCGGCTCGGCCGCCGACTCCAACGCGGCCCTGCGCCGGCCCCTACGCGGCCCTGCAGCCGGCTCCAACGCGGCCCTGCCCCGGCTCCTACGCCGGCCCCGCCCTGGTTCTCTCACGCGACCCCGCCGCCTCACCTGCAGCAGTCGGGCAGCAGGGCCGCCGAGCCGCCCAGGAGCCGAGCCGCCCTGCACCCGAGCCGCCGGTAGCCGAGCCGCCCTGCACCCGAGCCGCCCTGCAGCCGAGCCGCCTGGGAGCCGAGCCGCCCTGCACCCGAGCCGCCCTGCCGCCGAGCCGCCCGGGAGCCGAGCCGCTGTACACACGAGCCGCCCGGTCGCCGTTCTGCTTGTCTGTCGAGCTGCACGGCCTGCCCTGCCTGGTGAGCACAGTCCCTCTGTCACTGCGCCCTCTTTCCCTACTGCTTGCACTGCTTCGCTGTAGTCATCATGGCCACCCCTAGTGTCCTAGCCTTTGACGCCGAGGGTCACGCCATTGATTTTGAGGTCTGGCTGGACGACCTGCAGCTTTTCTTACAGTGCGACAGAGCTGACAGCCTTTCTCTCTTTGACCTCACCTCTGGCGCCTCTCCTGCTCCTGCTGCCGATGCTGATCCCACTGTCCGCTCTCAGTGGGCCACCCGCGATGCTGCTGCACGTCTTGCTGTGCGTCGCCACCTCCCTACCTCTGAGCGTGCACACTTTAGTCAGTACAAGAGTGCTCAGACCTTGTACGACGCTGTAGTTGCGCGCTACTCCTCCCCTGCCACTGCTGCACTGAGCCGTCTCATGCTTCCCTACCTCTTTCCTGACCTCTCTGCCTTTCCCACTGTCGCTGACCTCATTACGCACCTCCGCACTAGTGACACTCGCTACCGCGCCGCCCTTCCTGCTGAGTTTTGCGCTAAGAACCCCCCCCCCATGTACATCACTCTCTACTACGTAGTCGCGCGCCTCCCTGACTCCCTCCGTGTAGTCAGGGACCACTTTCTCGCAGTCTGTCCCACCACTCTCACCGTCGACCTCCTCGAGAAGGCCCTCCTCGCAGCGGAGAAGAGCATAGTCGCTGTAGGTGCCTCTCGTGGTGACCCTCGCACCCCCATCTTTGAGGGGTGCTCTCCTTCCCCCTTGCTGCCCTCTGTTGCCTCTGCTGCTGCGGCCGACCTGCTTGGTCTTGAGTCGGTCGGCGCGGCGTCCGCCCCTAGTGGGAGACGTCGCTCTAGCAAGGGCAAGGGGGGCAAGGGCACGGGCGGAGCTGGAGGGGGCGGTGGCGGTGGCGGCGGAGGCGGCGGAGGGAGTGGGGGTGGCGGCGGGAGTAGTGGTGGTGGTGGTGGTGGTGGTGGCAGCAGCGGCGGAGACGGTGGTGGTGGTGGCAGCGGTGGTGGTGGAGGCAGCGGCGGGGGAGGAGGCGGTGGAGGTGGAGGCGGTGGAGGCGCCGGCGGAGGAGGCGGTAGTGGTGGAGGAGGTGGAGCTAGTCGTGGTGGTACCCAGCAGCGGAGCGGCGGTGGTGGTGCCCAGCGCTCGCAGCGGCAGCAGCAGCAACGTTCGCGGGACATCCCTCCGCCTCAGCAGCTTCGTGAGTGGTACGCTGCGCGTCAGAGGGGTGGGGGTACTGGTCCCTGCGCCTACGTTCTTCGCTCCGGCGACCGCGCGGGTGAGCAGTGTGGGGGTGCCCACTCCACCCAGCGCTGCTTTGGCCGCCTGACGGACGCTTGGCGTCAGCAGTTCCCCGGGGCTAGTGAGATCCCTCGCTGGGATGAGCTCCTTAGGGCTGGTGTAGCGATCTTTGATCTTGATTTTGATGCTATCCTTTCTGCTATGTATGCTGTGACTTATAGTGAGGAGAATGAGGGTTACCGGTGTTTCCAGCCCGACCCGGGCATTGGTACTGCTGCGCTAGGTACTTGTGAGGCTGCTGCTCTAGGTGCCAGTGCGTCTGCGCTCTCAGGTACTAGTGAGACTGCGCTCTCAGGTGCTGGTGAGACTGCGCTCTCAGGTACTGCGTCGCCCTCGTCCTCCCTGGGGGTGAAGTTGGTGGCATAGGCCCAGGCGTTGTTGACGGTGGGGTCAGCCAGGTGGTCGGACAGGTTCTCCAGGGGGCCCTTGCCGGTGACGATGGCCTGCACGAAGAAGCCGAACATCGACACCATGGCGAGGCGGCCGTTCTTGAGCTCCTTCACCTTGAGCTCAGCGAGGGCCTCGGGATCGTCAGCCAGACCCAGGGGGTCGAAGGCACCGCCGGGGTACAGGGGGTCCTCAACCTCTTGGAAGCCCTCAAGGCCACCCACGCGGTAGCTCTCGACGGCACCCATGAGGATGACCTGGGTGGCCCAGATGGCCAGGATGGACTGCGCGTGGATCAGGCTGGGGTTGCCGAGGTAGTCAAGGCCACCCTCGGAGAAGATCTGAGCACCGGCCTTGAACCACACAGCCTCGCCGAACTCGACGCCGTTGTTGGCGAGGAGCTCGGGGGTCAGGCAGCCGAGGGCACCGAGAAGAGCCCAGCGAGCGTGGATCACCTCGAGCTCGCGGTTCTTGGCGAAGGTCTCGGGGTCAGCGGACAGACCCGCGGTGTCCCAGCCGTAGTCACCGGGGTACTCGCCGGTCAGGTACGACGGGAGGGGCGAGCTGTGGGGTGGCGGGTATGGGGGTGGCCGGTGTGCCTTCCTCCCTTTCTCCTCCTCCTCCTTCATCTCCCATTGCTGCAGCTGTCGCTGAGGGGGGTGGTTGTGTGGGAGACTGGGGTTTAGGGTTTTAGGGGGGTGCGTGGGAGTAGAGCTAGTGGTGTAGCAGTGGGTGTGTATCAGGGGGGTGGGACTGTGTGCGAGAGGATGAGCGGAGGTTGCCAGTTTGTCGTCAGCAGCACCTGTAGTCCGGGGCGCTGTCCCGGTAGCCCAGTCGTAGCCAGCTGTGCCAGCCGCCCGTGGGTCCGTTGCCCGTCCGCCGCTATTTGAGCCGCGGGGCCTGTTACCCCTGTAGTCCGGGCGCTGTCCGGTAGCCGCTGTGCCAGTCTGCCTCCTGTTGCCCGTGTGTCTGCAGCTTCAGCCGTCGCCTCCTGTCTCCTCTCCCCTCACTCTCCCTCCTCCTCCTCACTTGCCCGTTGTGACTACCACTAGCTTTGCTTATAATTGTAAACTCTAAACTATTTCTTCTTGAACTTGTGCTCAGAATGTGTGGTGACATTGTGATCCACCCTGAGCTTGTTTTGCTTTGCCTGCTCTGCTGATTACACCCCACTTTGGCTATGGGGGTGTGTCAGAATATTATCTTATTGTTCTAACCTGTAGTGGGGTGCTCTATAGCGAGTACAACCCTTCTAGGGTTTGCTATTTGTATCCTCATTCTTGCTAGTTCAATTCTCTTTTCTTTCTTCTAATTTTGACACAGCGAGCACAGGTTTCGCATTCGACTTGACGTGTCACTTACTGCTTGACCTCATGAGCGCAAAGTAGTTTCTGTAGTTTTTTTCCCACAGCGCCTTTTCAACCGCGCGCAATCGTGTCTCCCCCGAGTTCTCGTACGCCGCAATCGTTGACGCTAGCGAGAGTAGCGTCATGGTTAGTAGTACGTCGAAGAGAGTGGATCGACATCTTGAATGCGTTGAGTCTAAGCGACAGTAAACGGGAGGAGATGGATCAATGATAGAAGTGATGGAATGATATGAAGGACGATGCTAGCCCCGAGAGTTATGGAGGCTTAGGGTGATGATGATGACACTGGCAAGCAAGCAATGAGAGCACCAAGTTTAGTACTAGGTCGCTGTGTCAAAAATGAGCTCAGACAAAGGCAGAGCACGCTTTCGTCGGAAGTTACTCTTTTCGATGTCACCCGAAAATCACATCGCATCATGCGGCGGCCAGTGAGGCAAGGCAAGGCACGTTTGGCAAGGAGAGCTGCCGCGCTGCTGCTTCTGTGAAAAGAATGAACAGGAATGGGGATGACTAAGGAAAGATTGGGTACAAATACAACCCTAGAAATACTGTACCCCATATGTGCTACCCCACTATAGCCTACAAACATGCATCAGCTATAATACTCTGACACACCCCCATAGGCTAAGTGGGGGAGAACAAGGGGTCACAAGACCAGTCAAGCAAAGCAAAGCAAAGAAAGCTCAGGGTGGATCACAAAGTCACCACACAGTCCGAGCACAAGAGCAGGGCCAGAGGCCAGTTCACATGCAGGAGTACAGACATATATATAAAACTAGACAAGCAAGAGCAGGTATATATATATGTCACAGTACAAGTGAAGTCAAGAGGAGAGCAAGTGAGGCAAGACAGGTACAAGACCCAGCTGGGTGCAAAAGCGCTGATGGTCACAAGGCGCGAGTGCCTTGGTGAACACATCAGCAGTGTTGGCCTCAGAGGCCACGTATGCAAGTCGCAACTGACCACGCTGCTGCAGCTCACGAGCAAGGAAGTAGCGGAGAGCAATGTGCTTCGTTCTGTGCTCCAAGCGCTGCTCTCGACACAAGGCCAGCATGGCCTTGTTGTCTACGTACAGCACTGGAGGAGAACGAGGCGGCTCTCCAAGGTCAGTCAGCAGGTAGGTGAGCCAGCGAAACTCCTGTGCAGCCATGGCCCCGGCGTAGATCTCAGCCTCACAACTGAAGCCGAGAACCGAAGACGAGCGAGTAGACCGCCACGAGACAGAGCCGGAACCAAGGCTGAAGGTGTAACCCTGTGACGACCGCTGCGTAGCCTGGTCGTCAGCCCAAGAAGCGTCCGCGTGGCCGGTAAGGACCACTGGACTCCGCCCTCCAAGCACTAGCCCCATGCCCGACGTACTGCACAGGTAGCGCAATACCCTCTTCGCTGCAGCCATGTGCTCCGGTCTGTGTCTCCCAGGAGCAACATAGCGTGCAAGAATGCTCAGAGGGTATGCAAGGTCAGGTCGTGTGCAGGTCATCAGGTACATGAGGCAGCCAACAAGCTCTGCATACGGACCACTCGACTCTACGGACTCATCCGAAGGCAGAGCTGAGAGTGAGTGGCGAGTAGGCAGAGGAGTGGCCTGAGGCGAGGAGTACATGAAGCCGAAGCGCTGAAGGACCTGATGCACCATGTGTGACTGAGTCAAGGTAATGGTGCGGCGTGCTCTGTCCCGAGTGATCTGCAAGCCAAGGTAGCTGCGCAGTTCACCCAGGTCTGTGCACGTGTGTCTCTTCAGCAGCTCGGACTTCACGTAGGCGAGTCCAGCAGTGTTCGCTGTGGCAAAGACCAAGTCGTTGACGTATACGAGGATGTAAAACGGCAGCAGGGAAGTGTCGGTGCGAACAAACAGCGACGGGTCAGCAGTAGAAGGAGCAAACCCAAGAGCCGCAAGCGTAGTCCTCAGTGTGTCGTGCCACTCACGCGGTGCCTGGCGGAGACCGTAGACTGGCCGTCGGAGGCTCCACTAGGTGCCAGGAGGGAAAGTCCCAGTGAAGCCAGGTGGACGGCGAAGCCAGATCTCCTCGTGCAGGCTACCCTGCAAGAACGCAGTGCTGAAGTCGAGAGAGTGAAGCTCGTATTCGCGCTGAGCGGCTATGTGCAGCAGCACCCGAAGAGTTGTCATCTTCGGGGTGGGAGAGAAGGTCTGAAAGTAGTCAACTCCTTGCCGCTGACTGAAGCCACGAGCAACGTACCGTGCCTTGAAGACAGGTGGAGAGCCCGGCGGCCGCTTCACCCTGAAGATCCACATGCCACTGACGATGTTCGCCCCAGGAGGGGGAACCGCGTCAACGTAGGTGCCTGTGGACTTCCAGGAAGCCATCTCTGCATCCATAGCTGCCTGCCACTGAGAGGAGTAGGGACCCTCTACGGCCTCCGCGTAAGAACGCGGAGTCGGGATGTCTAGTGCATCCGGGTCTCCCTCAGGGGCAAGCAGTACAGACGCGAGATGAGGTGAAGCAGCCGCTAGACACTGTAACTCCTCCTGCCTGTCCTCTAGGACGTCCGTGCCAAGAGCACACTCACCCCCGACGGACGGAGGACAGACAGACGCAGACTCAGCAACAAGACTAGCAGCCTAGTCGAGACGACAGCGAGCAGCAAAGTCGACGAGCTCAGCGACTAGAGCAGACGCAGCAGTGGACTCAAAAGAGGGGTCAGTGACGACAGTAGCAAGCAGACGCGTGACAGTAGGACTGGCAGCACGAAGAGAGTCCGACTCAGGGTCGGCAAGCGCAGGAAGAGAGGACTCAGGAGGAGAAGGCAAAGGGGCACGCAGAGGAGCAGTGGACGGACGCAAAGACATCCGGTGCGTGCCAGGGACAGGAGGAGGACGCTGACGCGAACTGCGACCACTAGCGCGAGCAGCGCGAACAGGCGACGCGGGACGAGACGCAGGCTCACGACGCTCAGCAAGACCTCCAGTAGGACCAGTGTAAGGAGAGGGAGCAGGCAGTGGAGAGGAAGGCTCCAGCAGGGACTGCGACTGGACAGGCGGTGGACCCTCTACTAGAGGAGAAAGACCAAGAACCTGCTGCAGGAGCGGAACGAAGTACGGCCGAGGCCGCGCGGCAGCTCCAAACTCAGCAGGGACAGCACCACCACCCTCAGCGACAGCACCAGCGCCACCCACACCTCCAGCGGCAGGACCAACAGCAGTAGGCTCAGCACCAACGCCCTCAGCAGCTCCAGCTCCAGGAGGACCCGCAGGTCCAGCAGCTCCGGGACCGGCAGCACCTGCACCCTCGACGGTCGAAGAAGCTCCAGCTCCAGCTCCAGCAGCACCTCCAGACTCAGCAGCACGCCTCCAGCGGCGAGCGAACCACTCGCGCAGCTCCTGTGGAGAGAGGGGCTCCCGGCGAGACGCAGCAGCAGGAGAAACCCTAGGCTCAGCAGCTCCAGACGCAGCACCCCCAGGCTCAGCAGCTCTCAGCTCAGCACCCCCAGGCTCAGCAGCTCCCGACCCAGCACCCCCAGACCCAGCACCTCCAGGCACAGCACCCCCAGGCTCAGCACCCCCAGGCTCAGCACCCCCAGGCTCCGCACCCTCCGCAGTAGCACCCTCAGGCCCAGCACCCCCAGCAGTAGCACCCCCAGGCTCAACACCCCCGCGCACAGCACCCCCAGAGTCAGCACCCCCAGGCTCAGCACCCGCAGCAGCACCATAGTCACCAGTAACCTCGACCGGGTCAACGGCGTCTACCTGGGACACACCTGAGGGGGCAGGAACCTGAGGGGGGAGGGGGTCTACCGGGGGGGGAACCGGCACAAGGAAGTCCGGGGGAGGGGGGAGGGAAGGAGTGCGGTAGGGGAAGAGACGGTAGAAGGGGACGGACTCGTCGAACGTGACGTCCTGGGAGGACAGAACACGACGAGAGGAGGGGTGGTAAAACTGCCACCCTGGGGCGTCAGTGGGGAAGCCAAGGAAGACACAGGGAGCAGCACGAGGGGACAGCTTGTCCGCAGACAAGTCGCGGACAAACGCCCGAGATCCCCAGACACGGAACACAGACGCATCGCCAACCTTCCCCGTCCACAGCAAGGCTGGGGACATCGCAGGCCGAGAGACCCGGGGGTGAAGGTTGAGCTGATGCGCCGCGTACCTCACCGCAAACGGCCACAGAAAATGGGGGGCAGCCGCATGCATCATGGACGTACGAGCGACATCCATGACCATGCCAATGCGGCGCTCAGCAATCCCATTTTGCTGTGGTGAGTCCGGAAGCGTGAAGGTCTGGCGAATCCCCCGTGCACGACAGTAGTCCCGCAGAAGGCGAGAAGAGAACTCTCCGCCTCTGTCCGAGTGCAGACGCAGAACAGGAAAGTCCGAGCCGAAGCTCTTCCTGAGCTGGAGACGAGCCTCGCGGATCCAGTCGATCAGCACCTCAGTGACCGCACCCTTGCTGCGCAAGGGGAGGACTGTGGTGTAACGCGAGTAGTCGTCAACCACCAACAGGAAGTAGCGCTCGTAACCCTGCCCACGGACGGGGGCTGGGCCCCACACATCCATGTGAAGCGTCTGCAGGGGAGCCTCTATCGGGGGGAAGTGGGAGGAGTGAGGAGTAGCCCGGAGGCGACCCTCGACACAGGGGACACAGGAAGGTCCTGGCCCGGAGGGGAGAGGAGGGAGAGACGGGGGAAGATCAGAGACAAGGACACGGGAAGCCATGCTCCGAAGACGGGGCAAGGAGGGGTGGCCAAGACGGTGGTGCCACAGGAGAGTCTCGTGAGACAGGAGGCGACAAGAACAGGGGGAAGACTCAGGACCTGACCGGGACGCAGCAGCAAGCACCTGACCCGACGCAGCCACCTGACCAGACGCAGGGACAGGAGGAGACTCAACGGTCAGGGTGTAGAGACTCGACCCCGGCCGACGCGAGAACGTGGCCAGGTGTCGGCCTGTGCGTGCCTCCGTGCAGTGGGTCACCCGCTGACTCGCAGGGGTGAACTGGTGAACCCCCACATCCTGCAGGTCCGCTCCACTCACCAAGTTCGTAGAGAACGAGGGAAGGTACAGACCAGACAGGGTGCCCGAAGGGGCAGCCGGACACGGGAGGACAGTGGAGAAGTGAGAAAGGACAGGACCCCCAGAGGGGTCAGCAAGGGAGACCGCAACCGGCCGGCCGAGCGGCGTAAGGGTAGTGCGGTCTCGAAAGAAGGAGCGAGAAGCCCCGGAGTCAAGTGTGAAAGTGAGGGAGGACGAGGACGACGCAGTACCTGAGAGCGCAGTCTCACCAGTACCTGAGAGCGCAATCGCACTGGCACCTAGAGCAGCAGCCTCACAAGCACCTAGCGCAGCAGTACCAATGCCCGGGCCGGGCTGGAAACACCGGTAACCCTCATTCTCCTCACTATAATCCACAGCATACATAGCAGCAAGGATAGCATCAAAATCAAGATCAAAGATCGCTACAC